TTAAATAGGAAATATGATATTTATTGCATACTTTCCGTAGGCATTGTATATAATACCAAGGAATTATATAGTATGACAAATGCTATTTAGACAATGTATGAAAAAATATTGTTATGGCTTTTATAAACAAATTGGAGGTATATTTCATACTCATTTGGCATTCTATTCGATTCAATTCGATTTCTCATTTGGCATTCTATAGAATTCTTAGAAAATGTGCAAAATGGGATTCGTTTCATTGATAGCTGACTAGTTATATGAATTATATACAGTGCTTAGACATTTTATGGAATTTATGATTTCACATTCCTTTGAAGGTAACATATGCGATGTGTTATGTTAAGACCGCTCTTAATAACTCTTCATACGCATTTTTAGAATCTTTTGAAAAAGGAAGACAAAAAAAAGTATACATATAGGGGGTTCAATTTATTATTTAAGTGAAGAAACAACAAAAACGCGATTGGAGCATGTGTAAGGAAAATATGATTGCGGAAGTATTAAGCATCAAAACCGGTATTATTCGGCGTTGAAAATTAAAGTTAAAAGTAATTATAGGGAAAAAGTAATTCAATTATATTTTTTAAAATGGCTCCTAGTTAATCGTTTAAGGCTTGCAAAATTTAAATTATTTTTTCTCTTTTCAGTACATTTTAAAAACATGGGTTTTTAAAATCACTTTTTGGAAAAAAAATCATCCCTTTAGTTCAGTTACTAGAGCTAAAAAACAACGAAAAAATATAAATTTTATACTTACAAGTTAAGATATCAATTTTAAAATCCTGTTACTGATTCTAAATTGTTATCATTGATCATTTTAATTTATTTAATTGTGTAATTTTCATGTATAACATTTTAAATTTAGGGACTATACGATTTATTAAGCTATTTCAGCTTTAAATTTTTTTTCGTGTATAAAAGGCATTAAGATATTAAAAAACTTTCTTTCCAACTCTTTAAATTGGAAAGTATTTCAAAGCATTTTCTACTCCAGATGCTATATTTTTCAATTATCCAGCATCTTTTCCCGTTTGCTGTCTGATAATTCAGTCAGGGATTAATTTCAAATTTAGAAATATGTCTGAATTTTTTTTTATGTAAGGACTTAACTGCTTTCTTGCTTGTCTCTAAGCATGCAATGAAGTTTTCTTTATTGTCTTTAAATTGTTGGATTAATTTGTTTCGTCTTATAGTCTGAATTTTCCATCGAATTATCCTATTAATAATTTAGGTTCTGTAAGATTCTGTCTAGTTTGTCATCTGCATTTCACTGGAAAGTTTTATGGAATTCATTTAAGAACGATGTAATATTTATAATGACTTTTTTATTATTGTATCGTATTATTAAATGGTTCACTTCATTAATCTCATATAAATCTATACTTTTTAACATGAGTTAAAAAAATTTCAAATAAAATTGCTAAAAAGCATTTCCGCAACAGCTAGTCATCATGGACAAGATAAAGTTATGGAATTTAAGGCTTCAGAATTTTGTAACCAGTTGTATGATGGTCAGCATTGCGCACCAGCCACATTTACTCCCCTGGAAGACTGATCTGAGGACGGGTAAGTTTCAAAGAACACTACTACCCTTGTCTAACTGGAAGACAAGTACCAGTACCTCTTAGCCACAATGCAGTCACAGTTAAGAAAATACTATAAAGTTTTAAATATTTTTGACTACTATATTACTACACTATCCACCAATAAGCATTTGGAAACCTATGCAAATAACTGTATCTGCGGTCCTCAGTTACATATCCGGTACGTATCTACCCTCCGCCGGTATATATCGTGCAGGGAACAACATCGGCATTAGTCCCATGCAAGATGCCTACTGCACTATTTTGGATGACAATGTGCTTCCTAGGTTGTGGCAGTTTTACGAAGTGGACCCCTGTTACTTCCAGGGCGACAATGCCAGTTGTCATGTTGCGAGGGTCACCAAGGCTTGGTATGGTGCCAATGGGGTTAATCGGATGGGCTGGCCTGCCCAGAGACCAGACATGAACCCTATCGAGAATCTCTGGGACGAGTTGGCTTGCCGAATTAAGGGATGTACAACCCGTCCAAAATGGGTGAAGGAACTTACACGTCTTCTCCAAGCCGATTGGAAGAAAATACCTCTAGCCGTCACACAAGAACTTGTGGAAAATATGCCCTGGAGGGTTCACGCTGTAATTGTTTCTCGTGGAGGGTCTACCAACTATTGATTATGAATAAAGTTTGTTTTTCTTTTCAATCACACTTGTCCAAATACTTATTGGTAGATAGTATATATTCACCCAAACAAAGTAATATAATTTGGTGGAATGTAGTCAAATTCTTATTATTACTATATTCATCCAAAAAAGTCAAATAACCATATAAAAGATAGTTATCAAACTGTTAACCGTAATAAAAATAGTTTATTGTCTGTTTTCATCTAATAGGAATTTAACAACCAGAGATTTAGCAGCTCCAACTTCGTTCGCGGCCATTGGGAATAGAAATCACCTTCTTATAACTGGAAACCATGTGATAAGGATTATGAATAACGTATTACGGATAAGCCTGACACAAACACGGGAGCCACTTAGTTCCTTGGAGATACTCAGTACATATTTTAGCCGAGAAGGCTAATCTGTTAATCTCATGAACAGCTGAACAGAGATTCAAATCCTAGCTTTGACGCCGCAATATTTACTCCATTCCTTCAACACACGAGAAGTTTCTAGTGTCCTGCGTTCTTCAATTGGTGACCCTGAATTTTTGGAATATGAAGTTCTCATTCCACACATAGATTGCAGTACTGCAGTACATTTACGCAGTACATTCTCACAATAGACGACTAGATAAACTAATTAAGCCACATTTTATGGATCACTTGACAAAACACAACCTGTCTAATTTCCATAACCTAACAAGATGCCTAACTTAACCTAACCATAAAGTGCAATTTAATTTCTTTTTTACTGTTTTAAAACCATGCTAGTTGCAAAGAGTTTCAAAATAGTAAAGGTTTGGGCCTCGGTTTTTCAACCACACCAATTGTAAAAAGTTTCAAACTCGTGAAGGTAAAGAAATGTGCAGAAACGTTAATTTCACGGTTTGTAGGATGGGCAGACATTATTTCACCATAGTTTTAGAATGAAAATTCTAACAGTGTACTATATTATTTGAGATACTGTCTGTAATACGTTTTTGAATATTTAATATTGAGCGTTTTTTCAGATAATTTTCTAAGCAGTTAGTTATAAGCTTAAAAAGCATATAATTTTCCGGCGTAGAAGAAATATTTCATATCCTATTTGTGATACACATTTAATATTTGGGATTTTTTTAAAACATTTTTTCCAGAGATAATAAACTAAAGTAGACATTTCTAAAACAAATATAATTTTACCAAGCTTTTATCAGATCTAATGAACATGGCTCTTTGACTTTTTATCTGTCATTATTTATTAGACAAAAGCTGTTAAAGCTGCTTGTATATATCAGTCTAGTTATTTATTAGCTAGGGTTTTTTTAAAAATTTTAATTTATTGAAATGTCATATTAATGCATTATCTTTGCCATTTTCAAGAATTATATAATCTGGTATTTTGGAAATTCCGTAGTAATTGAGTATTCAACCTCTTAGTCGTATTCCTAAGAGAACATCACAATAACATTTTTTCGAGCATATAATTATCAATGTATATAATGCCGGAATTTTATTGAATACTTGTCATTGTAAAGAATAACTGAAAATTTTAGCTAAGTATAAAATATGAAAATTATTATATACTTCACCTAGTTGCTGTATAAAATGCATAGGCATCTCTTAAAATTTTTTTTTAAAATTATTATGATAATATTTTTTAAGCACAGTTGAAAATATGAGAATTACTTTGATTAGTCATTCTATTAAACGTATTGGTAATGTATGGAATATTAATCGTTTCATCATTTGTTGTTTTGAAAGCCATTCATCAGAAAGTCAAGTCAATGCATAACATATTTATCATTTTATACTTCGCTGGTCTAATTTTAGGCATTGTATACAATGACTAAACATGCTATAGAATGTCAGAATCTTTACGGACAGTCGTAGTTGTATTCAGCACCTGAGTAATTGGGAGAGAGTAACGGACCAGGCTGGCTTCTCTAAACTTCGTTTATTAAATACCCTCTCAGCCTCCCATGGCATCCATATTCACTGGATACCCTCACACGTGGGTCTTTTTGGCAAGGAACGTGCTGATTAGTTGGCAAAAGAAGGTACTTTCCTCACTTACTCTGAATTATTTTCTATCCGCAAATCGAAAGTTAATAAAGCTTGGCTTGTTCCACCGGATCACAATTGATATCCCCGCAAGCATCCTGGAGGAGCCCTTGACCTTCAGGGTACACGTGCCGACCAAACCGCTACCTGTAGATTTGTCAGTGGGCATACTAAGAGCCTCACTTTTAGTGGACAAATTAAACTTTTTCCAACTTGTAAAAAGTGCAGCTCCAGCAAGGCTAGTCCTCGCCATCTACTTGATTGCCTGGATTTCACCATGGAAGAGGTTCTTGAGAGACCTCCCCTTTTCCTCGATTTTTTTGAAGACTCACGGCCTCATGGATCTGGTATGGCTCAGCTATCCCATCTGGGAATGGAAACAGCAACAACAACAGGTACTCTATAGAGTGTCAAATTGACGGTAACATACAGAAATTATGTTATATTTTTAAAAGATGAAACATGCTATGCTTCGGAGACAAAAATGTATTTTGTATTGATTTGGTATTAGTTCTTTTTAAAGTTCGAGTTTAACTAGTTAAATTTTATTCTAGTTTAAACAAGCGTTTTACCAAAGGAAACGTTTATTGCTTCTTTGAAGTTTTGATACGAGAAAATGAATACAAATTAAAATAATTGATCAATAATAAGTTTTTTGAATTTAAATTTCCAACAAAAACTGCTCTTTAATAATTTATTTTATTAAAAAAAATGCATCAATAAGTTTGAATTGTGATTGAAAAATGCAATATCATTCAAACAAATTAAATTTTATTTATATAACGTTCTACAATGGTCTGCAGATATCATAAAATTACTTTGAAAGTCTCATTTTATAACAAAGCAAAGATAATGCGAAAAAATATATAAGCTCTTTCAAGTTAAAAGTCAATAAGATCTTAGGATGAAATTGCCATATAACTTTTTTCATTTCATCTTCTTCTTTTTGTCATATTTATTTGAAATTCGACTTTTCGTTTGTTTGCTTTATGATGAGTATGCAATATTTTTGGGGAATTATTGCCAGATATTGTACTCTTTATTATAGTTTTCATTTTATTTTCATGTTATTCCTTAAAAGAAAATTCTCCATTTCTAATTCCTAAAAATAAAATTGTAATCTTTTATGAAATACATTTCTTTAGTAACATAAAAAATTATTCTAAATCAACGTATAGTAAATAACTCATTATGTTTAAAAGTAAGAATTATATTACCATTAACACATTTGCTTTAACACATTTCAAATCAACTGAATTATCATAATGGTTTCTTGAAAACTCCCATGTACGCTTCCCCCTTTTTTGAGGGAAATGAGGATGATTTTAGGGAAAGAATAGAGTTTCTTCTAGATTGTGAAGTGTTTCCGAAGCATAGTTTTATGCTGAATAAAATGAGACTATACACAAGACAATAAACTAGTAAGGGTTTTGTATATACAAAGTACTTTTTTATACGTATATATGCATTTACATTGCTAACCAAGGGCTATCTGAACATGTAAAGCATATTTTAGGATGCAGATTTTAGGATGCGGAGTTTCAAGGCATCACTTGTAATTGCACGACTAGACTCTTGTCAAAAAATATCTTGGGTATTAATTTTCCTGAAATAGCACACTTTTTTTGAAATACTATATTAACTGTCGTGATACTAATTTCTTAGTTACTAGTAGTCCTAGTTTAGTAAATGGATAAATAACTAAACTTATCTATTAATGTAATAATTAGTGTACCTAGAAATTATTTGATACCAATAAAGTACACTATCTACTTTTTAAGCTAAAAATCTAAAACAAAGGATATCAATATATTTATGAATAGTTAATTCTTATACTTTTGAACAAAACTTTATTTGTTTCATAATCAAACTGATGAAAGTCAATATTTTTGAGTGGTGCTCATACATAAGGGTGCTCATATTTAGGATAACATGTGAATGAGGAAAACAGAACGCGTTACGAATAAAAAAATAAATTGTTACCAACAATGAAACTGAAAGGGAAATACTAGAAACAAGCAAGGAAAATTCGCAGTAGTAGAGGGATGTGCTTGAAACAAGTAGACTTTTTTTTAAAACTTTAATTATGAAGCAAATGACGTTTTATTGACAACTTCATTTTTCTGCTTCCGAAACACAGAATAATTTGTTTTATAGTTTAGTATTAATTTGAATAAGCATTGAAAGGTACACAAATTTATGCATTAAATGCAAATCAACCCACATTTCAGTTCTCAAGTACATATCATACTTTTCTAGTATAATAGCTTTTACTTATCAAGTACATATGCATTGCCATTAGATATGCTATAAATTCTCAATCTGAAACTTTTCAAAACTTAATTCGACAGTTATAGAAAAGTTTCAAGTCAATGAAATTTTAGCATAAGTAACTTAGAAATCAATGATCCACTCAACGTTGGGCATACTGGAAAATAGAAGGATAAACATTGTAAACGACACAACTTTGAGCTTTAATTGTAATTCTTATATATCAATGCTATGGACAGTTTTACTACTAAGTTTAGAATCCCTAATACAGAATGAAGATGCGTTTCTTGTCAAGTAACATTTTCCTTAAAAGCCTGGTAGTGTTGGCTACAGCAGCTACAAATCTGTGTTTTAAAAAGTACCGCAGATCTACGATTGGAATCAAGCTGTCATTGTGAGTCTGAAAATTGCCAACCATTACAAAGCTGGGTATTGTTGACTACAGCAGCCATAAATCTGTGGCTTAAAAAGTACTGCAGATATATGTTAGGAATCAAGCTGTCGTTGTAAGTCTAAAAATTATCAAAATGAAAAATACACTGCGATTTTGCCCTTTTTGAACACTTTTTACTTTCAATTAAATAATCTGTTTCAAGGCAGTTTAGCCTTTCAATTACTGCGCTTAGCATGATGAAGTCTATCAATCTGTATACTTGTTGTTTCTACCGAACGCAAAAAGTTATAACATTTTGGTTTGAAACAGCAATTAAACAATCCATATGCGAACTTGAATAGCTAAAAGAATTCAGGTGCTTTAGACAATGATATTACAATATTTGTTATTTATTTAAATTTTAAAATTTTCGTAATTATTTGCAATTTTATTGAAATAGTTATATTTAAAACTGTCACAGTTTTTGTTTTGAAATTCGTTCAGTTAGATTTAAGGAAATTTAGTAATCCAAACAGTTTAATTATCAAAGCAAAAAATTATAGATTATTATAGCATTTTTTATAATAAGAAATTGTTTGAGCATAGGTGGTTCAGAAACATTCTTTTTCGTTCGTAATTTATTACTAGTCGCAAACCTGTAAAAGCTTTAAGCTTTATTGACATGTATGAGAAATCGCATGACTTATACACTTTTAAAGTTTTAAGCACTTTTCGAACTATTTTTTGAGAAATATGAAGAAAATGAGTTAGTACAGAAGTGTTCCCGTCATTTTGTTCAACCCCTGGATTTTCTACTCACTGGGAAGTTTTTAGCTACAGAGGCAGAGTTGAATAATGGCGACAACAAACAATTACGACAAACGATGATTATTTACGTTCTTCTAGTTTACAAAAATTTTGAACGATGGCAACAGCAAATAATTGCGGCAAACGATGATTATTTACGTTTATCTAGTTTACAAAAATGTTGAACGATGGCGACAACAAGTAATTAAGGCAAACGATGATTATTTACGTTTTTCTAATTTTCAAAAATGTTGAACAATAGCGACAATAAATAATTACGGCAAAAGATGATTATTTACGTTTTGCTAGTTTGCAAAAATGTACAGAACTTAACTTCCACTTGATAGATTGTTTGACGCCTTTTATGCACTTTTATTACTTTTTTAATTTGTTATTTTACCACATAATTTTTTTTTCGTTTATCTCTAATTACTGCTTAATCATTATTGCCATTTCTGTTACCAAATTACCATTATTTTTAAAATTTGAATTGTATTATAACATAAAAAGAAAGCATCTTTATAGTTATTACGTATCAAAAGAAATTACTTAAATTTTTAAAAAAAAATCATTAGTTTTCACAACAATGCTACATGTTTCTTTGCAGTACATAACACTGGTTTTTATGACAAACTAGACTAACGTATTAGTTTTACAACAATGTAAGAGAGTAGATTTTATGACAATGCCACATTCTATATTACAACATAAAAAACTAAATGCAGATTAATTTTAAATTACAAAACATTAAAATAATTATTTAACAGTTTGAAAATTAGTGTTTATTAAATTAACTAAATAATAATAATCATAAATGCAGATAAGCACATAATATATTCGTAAATGGTATGCAACCTCTCACAAATCTGCATAGAAAACCCATACTTCACCTACAGCTAGATACTCACCATAGCAACGAATAGCAAATATTGCTTTGCGAGGATAAAACCTTTAAAAGGTTAAGTTCCACCATGGAAAATAAGATTTTTTTTCACTTTTTCTTGATATTCAACTATGACCAGGTAGCTATGGATTCTTTTGTGCTGTCGTCGTATACTTCAACTTTAGTTCCCAATATATTGAGCTTGCAGAATTCTTATTCTTGACCGAATCAATAGACTTTGAAGATAAAAAGAAAAAAAAATTCGGAAAAGAAATTCATGGCTTGAATTATATGAGTGTTGCCCAGAAATAAAACGTTGTGTTTTGATGGTCGAGAGAAACGGTTGTAACTTTGTGAAGGTCAATTCTGATGTTGTCCTGGAAGAAAAAATATAGTTTTAGAACTCTGAAAACTTGATGCAATCGAATTTTATAGTACATGCGTGTTTTTATTATTGTATATACCTGTTTATTAGACAGGTTTTGTTAAATATACAGTGTGATTAAATTTATAAGGTTTCATGTTATTTTGTTTACTTGTAATAAAACTTAACAAGAATAAAAATGCAGGCAATGAAGTGTGATATAAAACTGCTTACCTACAGTTAATTAACACAGAAAATATTTATTTCAAAATTATTTGCTGTCACAAATCATTTATAAAGTATCTACAAAACACAAGTGTTTGAAACGAGTTTTAAGCTTTTATTAAACTTTAAATTGTAAATTATAAACTATAAAGTTATAAAGTTTATAATTTACAATTATATATAGTGTAATAATAATTTATGAGTAAATAAAAAGATTTATACGGCAAATTATAAACAGAAATTTTTTTTATATAATGCGAAATTTGTATAAATTTAGTTTATTGATACAATATTTTTATTAACATTATAGTCACTGAAAAATTGTGCCCATTCTTTTTGTTCTGAATTCTTTAAAAATTAGTTGATGTTACATGCTTTTCGTGAAATATTTACATTTACTAAGTGCATATTATTTACAAATGTAATTATTAGTGTGCTATTATTAACACGTACTTACACCATATGTACTATATTTACTTCACGTATTAATATTTTGTACTAATACTTGGATGTACTGATACTCTTTTTAAGTATTAAAGATTAAGTGGCTGCGAAAAAAGAGAGAATTTTACTAACTCATCGAGCATTTTACGTTTGAGCAAATTTATACGAAAATTTCTCTTTAATACACAACTTTTTTCATTGATTAAGAAAGACAAATTTATTTTCCATAAAATAAAGAATCTTGAGAAAGGACATATCATGGCTTCAATGCAGTTCAGTGGTTAAAAAATACATTAAATTGATAAATGGCAGACAGAGAAAAATCTCTTAGAGAGGTATCAGAAAACTTATTAATTATTTGAAGTTGAGCTGCGATGGCTCAGAGGATAGAGCGTTGGCCCTCCAATGATTTGAACCGGGTTCGAGTCCCAGCGATGACTGGCCGATACAAATCCCGCATCTAGCTTGCACCGACCACAGTGCTGACGTAAAATATTCTCAAAGGTAGACGAATCATGGGTTAGAGTCTCCTTTCCGTCAGGCTAAACGCGTGAGGTTCTCGTGGTCTTCCTCTCCCTGTAACGCAAATGCGGGTTAGTTTCATCAAAAAGTCCTCCACGAAGGCCAATTTCTCCCAATATTTGATCCAGGAGTTCCCATGACTACTCTATTGGGTTCAAAATTACAAGGCCACGTAGTTGAACATTAGTAGTCTTAAACCCAAAAATTGGTTCGACAGTTCAACGACGGCTATGAATCAAAATTAAATTATTTGAAATTAATTTCCTTATCTAACAATTTATAGGTTAATTGAAAAAAATTAAATTTAAACACATTGCAACACATTGGTAACTCTATAACACGTTTGACAGCAATTGGTTCTTTAACAATTTTGAACTCATTTTTTAACTTATTGGTTTACTAACTCATTTATATAATACTGCATAGTACAGAATAGTGGTTATGACAATCCAAGACATTACTTTTTATAACAACGTATCTCATTTGTTCTTGAAACATTGTAATATAAAGTAAAAGATTTGTGCAAGTTTCGTTTAAGTTAAATTATAAAATTGAATTGTTTCCTAAATACATCAAGAAAATTATAACTATGCAATGTATTAAAATTTATAACAATATAATATAAAATAAATTTGTGAAATCAAATTGTGGTTTGGTTGGTTGGTTGGTTTCGTGTACCTGTTTAGGCAGAGGTGTGTGATTGTTCTTGTTTTCCATTGGCGCCATTTATGGCCAAGAATTCGACTTCTGCCACACTCATTCGTCGCACCCGTTTATAGGGCGGACCCATTCATACATCCATTCCTTCAGCCACAGATCGTAATTTTGACCAGAATCAGAGAACGATCGATCTCCAATCCTGTACCCCCAGAGGTATTGATTTGTTAAGGGAACATGGAGGACTTTGCGTCTTGACAGATTTAACGTGAACCAGTCACCATTTTACTACACGGGGAGTCTTCGTCCGGCGAGGTTCGAACCCACGAACTCTCGGACATGGGCCCAGCGCCCTACCGACCAGGCTATCCCGGCAAATTGTGGTTTGATAAATTATTAAAATTATAATAATGTACTCACTGGATTTTAAGAAGTTAAAGATTTGTGCGAATTTGTCATAAATTAATCTGTTAGTTGAACTGTGTCGTAAATACATCATTAAAATTGCAAAATAAAATAACTTACACAAAACTAATACTGAAGTTGAGGAAATTTTTGAACAGTTTTAAGCAATAAAATTCTTATAAGATTTGCTAAGAAAATCAATATTTACTGTTTGAACTGTAAAATGTATTTTAAGGTAAATGTCATGGATACATCTACAAAATAAAGGGCATTCATCGTACTGCTTCTCATTTATCAAGTTGAACGTTTTCCCGATTTCAAATCAATTTAAAGACAATTTGAACTTTAAAATTGGAACAGAATTCAATTCACTACTTCCAGAATAATTAGAATCCAATCTCTTTAGGAGAACAAACCGACGACAGTCTGAAAGGAAATCAGTTGGATGAGAGAATTCAAATCTCCCATCTGAAAGATTAAAGTTTTAAATGTCCTGTATTTTAGGAAAATATTCTGTTTCTAAAATAATGTAAAATGTTTAGAGGCATTGTACTTATTTTTCAGTGTCACTTAAAACTTATCAATTCTAACTAAACATCTTACATTATTTATATATCTTATGATATTAATCATTTGTTACTTTGGTATTTACTATATGGGTTAATAATACTTCTAGAATGGAAGAAGTTTAATATTTAATTTGATTTATTCTAGTCATTGATGTGTGTGTGTGATATATTTTTATGCTCTTATACATGTTAATGCTAAAACGATGTTAATGCTTAAGGTCAGTCTGGGTAAAAAATACTTTTAGAAGGAAAGTATTTCAATCTTTGATTTGGCAATGATTCATTGACAGCTCTTAAATGTTAATGTATTAAAGATATTACTTGTTTACTACTTCTGTATTTAGTGTGGGTTAATAATACTTTTAGAATGGAAGTAGTTTAATATTTAATTTGATTTATTCTAGTCATTGATGATAAATTTTTATGCTCTTATAAATGTTAATGCTAAAGCGATGTTACTTATGTAATTAGCCTGGGTAAATAATACTTATAGAAGGAAAGTATTTCAATATTTGATTTGGTAATGATTCATTAATAGACGATACAGTTTTTTGCTCTTAAATGTTAATGTATTAAGGATATTACTTGTTTACTACTTTTTTATTTAGTGTGGGCTAATAATACTTTTAGAATGGAAGTAGTTTAATATTTAATTTGATTTATTCTAGTCATCGATGATATATTTTTATGCTCTTATAAGTGTTAATGCTGAAATGATGTTACTTATGTATTTAGTCTGGGTAAATGATACTTTTAGAAAGAAAGTATTTCAATATTTGATTTAATAATGATTCATAAATACATGATAAATTTTTTTTGCTCTTAAATATTAATATATTAGAGATATTACTTGTTTACTACTTTTGTATTTAGTGTGGACTAATAATACTTTTAGAATGGAAGTAGTTTAATATTTAATTTGATTTATTCTAGTCATTGACGATATATTTTTATGTTGTTATAAATGTCAATGCTAAAACGATGTTACTTATGTATTTAGTCTGAGTAAATAATACTTCTAGAAGGAAAGTACTTCACTATTTGATTTAGTAATGATTCATTAATAGATCACACAGTATTTTGCTCTTAAATGTTAATGTATTAAAGATATTACTTGTTTACTACTTTTGTATTTACTATGGGTTAATAATACTTTCAGAATGGAAGTAGTTTAATATTTAATTTGATTTATTTTAGTAATTGATGATATATTTTTATGCTCTTATAAATGTTAATGCTAAAACGATGTTACTTATGTATTTAGTCTGAGTAAATAATACTTTTAGAAGGAAAGTATTTCAATATTTGATTTGGTAATGATTCATGAATAGATGATACAGTTTTTTGCTCTTAAATGTTAATGTATTAAAGATATTACTTGCTTATTACTTTTGTATTTAGTGTGGGTAAATAATACTTTCAGAATGGAAGTAGTTCAATATTTAGTTTGATTTATTCTAGTCATCGATGATACTATATTTTTATTCTCTTATAAATGTTAATGCTAAAACGATGTTACTCATGTATTTAGTCTGGGTAAATAATACTTTCAGAAGGAAAGTGTTTCATTATTTGATATGGTAATGATTCATTAATAGATGATTAATTTTTTTGCTCTTAAATGCTAATGTATTAAAGATATTACTAGTTTACTACTTTTGTATTTCGTGTAGGTAAATAATATTTTTAGAATGGAAGTAGTTTAATATAGGAGTAGATTTTATCCAAGAATTGATGATATATTCTTATGCTCTTATAAATGGTAATGCTATTTGAAAACTACTGGTATATCATAACATAAAAATAAAGTGTAAGGTTTGCCATGTTTTGGATGTGGTATATTTGGTATATTTGTATAAAATAGGGCCATTTGTAATTTTTTTGGTAGCATCATAGCAAGCTTATGGAATCTTTTAATTCTTTTGTTGTTTGTTTCATTGAAAGTTAAATTGACAGAACGCATTAGATTGAAAACACTACAAGTATAATTGTTATGGATGGCGCGCTTTTTCAAGCTTAGGAGAAAAAATCAATCGGAACTGTAACCAAACGTATGACAAATTTTGATCCCTAACATCACCTGTGCATAGATTTACACAGTCAACCATACAAGCTTAATGCGAACATCATGGCGCGGAAACAAGCATGGTTAAATTTAAATTAGTTTTAAGCTTGCATGGTTTTATTTGCTGACCATTAATAAAACTTGTTGGACTTGGTGATAAAACTTGTTGCTGACATTAAAATGAATCTTTCACCGCTATCTGGGATTTTGACTTAGTTACAAATGCAAAATAATGCTTCTTTGG